TACGCTACTGCATGGAGAGCCCTCCGTTTATTTAGGTTTCATAATTTAAACTTCTTTTAATTCGAACAAATTTTCGGACCCCTTCGGGTTTATGTTTTATTTTTCTTCAAACAATTCGAGTGACTGTTTTATTCAATGAACGCTCCTCCCCTGACAAGTTTTCGTCGTACCTTGTGTGGTGATAGCGCCCAGGCGCGTCAAGTGTCCGCGTTATCTGGCGCTGTCGCCCGCAATTGTAAAGTGTCGTTTGTACGTGACGTCATTGGTCACATGAGTGTCTGCTATATATGTATGCTGGTTGCATGGAATAAAGGTTGGACGTTATCTCGCGCCCATCGGAAGCGGCTCAGTCCCTTTCTCAGCTCCTGCGGCCGGCCCGGACGCGCAGGCCCTTTCGCTAGGGCGCAACACGACATGGTGTCAGAAGTGGGATTCTTCTGATATTCGAGGGGCGTTGCACCTTTCTTCGTCAAGCGGCGCCATGTCAGAAGACAAAGAAGTCAAGCCAGTTCACGGCATGTTCGCAGTTCCAGCTCCGCCAGCGTTTGACTTCGACCGAACGTCCGAATGGCCTTCCTGGATCCAACTATTCGACGACTACCGCTTTGCCTCTGGCTTAAATGAGCAAAGTGAAGAAGCGCAAGTCCGGACTCTACTCTACACAATGGGCAGGCAAGCGAGAGAGATCTTTTCGACCTTCACACTATCTGAACAACAGCAGAAGCAGTATGAAACCGTCAGAAAAAAGTTCGACGATCACTTCGTGGCCGCACGGAACCTCGTTTACGAGAGCGCATGTTTTCACCGACGCATACAACAACCAGGCGAGTCAGTCGACCAATTCGTCACCGCGTTGCACACACTGGCGGACCGGTGCGACTACAAGGAAAAGGAACGCATGATCCGCGACCGGTTTGTAGTCGGCCTCAGTGATGCCAAGCTCTCGGAGTCTCTGCAAATGGATGCAAATCTTACACTCGCCAGCGCTTTGGCAAACGCTCGCTTGAAGGAGACCGTCCGACGACAGCAGCAACAGCTGCGAGAAACCAGCGACGAACCTTCGGCAGCGCCAGCCAGCAACCTGGACGCGGTCAACAAACAACGGCAGCCCCGAAAGAATTCTTCAGGACAGCGTTCCGGCACCTCGTCAAGGACCAGAGCACCGGTCACACAACGTCAACGCACCAGACCACAGTCCTACCGACCTCTCACATCCAGTTCGTGCCCCAACTGCGGTCAAGGAGAGCACCCGAGGACCTCCTGCCCGGCACGAGCTGCGAAATGCAACTACTGCGGTTGTTCCGGACATTTCGCAGTGGTGTGTCGGAAAAAGGCTGCAGGCGAGCGAAAGAAGGTGCCGATTTCTTCTTTCCATATGGAAAAAGGGGCATATTTCGTAGGCGCGGTAAATGGGGAGCACTCCAATTCTCGGTATGCTCAAGTTATCATTAACGGCACTCCGGTGTTCGCTAAACTTGACTCGGGTGCAGAAGTGTCTGTTGTACCCTCAACATTTCCGGGATTGCCTACCAAATTAGACAAGTGCGACATAACCTTAACAGGCCCTGCGAATGAGCCACTGCATGTTCTCGGAAAATTTCTTGCCACTATACAGTGGAGACAACGCATTGTCCGACAAACTGTGTACGTAGTCTCGCCTTTACGCTCGATACTTTTGGGTCTCCCAGCGCTCGAAGCCCTTGAGCTGATCAAGTTCGCTGACTCGGTCAGTAGCGCAACAGCCATCGAAGCTTCCTACCCTCAGCTTTTCGGTAGTCTGGGAGCTATGAAAGGGGAATACAATATCAGACTGAAGCCGAACTCGGTACCCTTTGCTATTCCGGTTGCGCGTCGCATTGCCTTACCCCTGCGGGACCGAGTGAAGCAGGAGCTCGAGCACATGGAGAGAGATGACGTAATCCGCAAAGTAGACGAACCAAAAGAATGGTGCGCAGGTATTGTACCAGTACTCAAACCTTCTGGAGACGTTCGTATTTGCATTGACTTGACGCAACTAAATAAAAGTGTACTTCGCGAGCGCTATGTTATGCCAACGGTTGAAGATAGCCTTGGTCTGTTAAGTGGGGCATCGGTTTTTTCGAAGGTGGACGCTAATTCTGGATTTCATCAGATCAAGTTGTCGCCGGAAAGCCAATTGTTAACTACCTTCATTACGCCATTTGGGCGATACTGTTTTCAGAGGCTACCGTTTGGAATAACGTCAGCACCTGAGTTTTTTCAAAAGAAAATGTCGCAGACTCTGCAAGGAATCCCAGGCGTGGTAAACATGATGGATGATGTGCTCATTTATGGCTGCAACAAAGCTCAACATGATGAGCGTCTGCGTCTTACTTTAGACCGTCTCATGAGTGCTGGTGTTACGCTAAACAAAGAAAAGTGTTGTTTTGGAGTAACCGAGATAAAGTTTCTTGGTTGTGTTCTAAGTCGAGATGGAATCAGGCCGGACCCTGAAAAGGTCCGGGCCATCAAAGAACTGCCGACGCCAAATAACGTGTCTGACGTTCGACGGCTGCTCGGTATGACTAATCATCTGGCAAGATTCATACCAGATTTGGCTTCAAAAACGGCGCCGTTACGTCACTTGCTTTTGAAGAGTTCTGAATGGACGTGGGGACCAGCCCAAGAGCAAGCGCTGTCATACGTTAAAGACGTTATTGGTTCGGCGCGCGTCATGGCTAACTATGATGCAAAGTACCCTACGATTCTTTCCGCCGATGCGTCGTCATTCGGTTTGGGGGCGGTACTGATGCAAGTTCAACCAAACAACGAAAAACGACCGTTGCCTTTGCATCACGATCGTTGACGCCTGCCGAAACCAGATAATCCCAGATTGAAAAAGAAGCACTAGCAATGATGTGGGCGGCAGAACGATTCGAAGGGTACACCAAAGGTCTTGAAATTGTGTGTGAAACCGACCACAAAACTCTTGTAACCTTGCTGGGAAAATCTCCTTTGGATGTTTTACCACCTCGCATTCAGCGTTTTCGCATGAGGCTCATGCGGTTCAGCTATGAAGTTGTGCATGTCCCGGGCAAGAGCTTAGTTACTGCAGATGTCTTGTCGAGGGCCCCGATTCGGGGAAAAGAAACTGATAATGCACTGTCTATTAGTGACGTCAGCAAGCACGTTTCAGGATGCTTGTAAAACGTGGTCGAGGCCAGCCTCTTCGAGAGAGTGAAAGCAGAACAAGCCGCTGACGAAGTTTGTCAAGCACTCGTAAAATTCAGCCGGAAAGGGTGGCCAAAATTTTCATCTCTTCCGATGGTCTTGCGTCCATATTGGCAGGAAAGAGCCACGCTTACCGTTGCTGAAGGCGTGCTACTTAAAGGTATGAGGTTGGTCATTCCTCGAAAATTGCGCACAGAGGTCGTCTTGATACGCTTGCACGAGAGTCACCTGGGAATCGAAAAATGCAGAGCTCGAGCCAAAGAGTCGGTATGGTGGCCAGGGTTGAGTTATCAGCTGAAAGCTTTGGTTACCGATTGCCGCGTATGCGCCGAGCACAGACACCAAAAGCCAGAACCAATGATCCCGACAACCACTCCACAGCGTCCTTGGCAAAAACTAGGAGCTGATCTCTGCCATGTTCAAGGAAAATGGTATTTGGTAGTCGTAGATTATTTTTCTAGGTACCCAGAGATTGCTTTGTTATCATCTACAACGAGTGCCACTGTCATTACGCACCTTAAAAGTTTCTTTGCAAGACATGGCATACCAGAAGTTGTTATGTCTGATAACGGACCGCAATTTGTGTCGCAGGAATACAAGTTGTTCGCTCGCAACTACGGGTTTCCCGCTGTGACGTCTAGCCCAAGGTACCCCCAGGCAAATGGTGAAGTAGAGAGGATGGTCCAGACAATCAAAGGTCTCATTACAAAAGCGAAGGACCCACATCTTTCTCTCCTAGCGTACAGGGACACTCCGGGGCCACTTGGGAAAAGCCCTGCAGAACTTCTAATGGGCAGGCGGCTACGCACAACAGTGCCTGTCCATCCCACAAGCCTTCTGCCTCAGACGGTGAACCTGAGAGAGTTCAGAAGCCATGATACGACCGCCCGACAGCGGCAGCGTAGGAACTTCAACCTTCGTCATAGGGCTACTTCGTTGCGAGCACTCGAACCGGGCGCGGAAGTCTGGGTGACGGACTGCAAAGCAAAAGCGCGAGTCTTGCGACTTGCTGAGCGGCCGAGGTCGTATGTGGTTAGAACTTCCACTGGTGTAGTTCTAGAAAGAAACAGGAAATCCTTGGTGCGCTTTGTTTCACAGCCAAAAGAAGGTGAGGATGAGGCAGATAGCGATGATTTTCCTCGGGCAGATGATAGTCGGGTAGAAACGGAACAGAATTCTAATCGCGTTACAGACAGCATGGCGCCTGACGATCTATCTAGCCCTTCCTTGCCGGGAACTGACCTTCCTGAATACCAAACGCGATCTGGTCGTCTTGTTCGACGGCCGGACCGCTACGGGTTCAGTAATTGACTGTATTGTTCTTGCGCATTTTTTGTTTTCTGCAAAGTGTTCTTTCACTGGCAGTGCTGCGAAGTTTGTTGCAACTGTCAGCGTATTGTTAAAGAAGGGGAGATGTGGTGATAGCGCCCAGGCGCGTCAAGTGTCCGCGTTATCTGGCGCTGTCGCCCGCAATTGTAAAGTGTCGTTTGTACGTGACGTCATTGGTCACATGAGTGTCTGCTATATATGTATGCTGGTTGCATGGAATAAAGGTTGGACGTTATCTCGCGCCCATCGGAAGCGGCTCAGTCCCTTTCTCAGCTCCTGCGGCCGGCCCGGACGCGCAGGCCCTTTCGCTAGGGCGCAACACGACACCTTGCACTATGTCTGTGAATGATAAGCTATGATAAAGCTACTGTGGAAGACACACCAATGGTTCACGCCCCCCATGTCGCTCCTTAACAATGTCACCACAATTTCAAAATCCCCAAATAAACATTTGCATGCCTAATTAGATGCAGGGTACTCACCAAGAATGAGCTTGTACTTGACCAGAGGAGTAACTAGGACAGACTTGGGATCTAGGCTGCATCCACTCAGTGTCCGACTCATCATGCAGAATTCAACCTGTATTATTCAAATACAGTTGAATAGTTAAAAAAAAAAAAGCTGAATGCAAGGACACGAATATTTGATTCCCGAGCTAGTAGGCCCAACATCATTATTATCTCAACAGCATTAAAATTGGGAAGATTCCATGCATTTTGAAAATTGCTTTCATGCGAAGCAGTCTCTGCTGCAATTTTTTGGCTTTGAGCCAAGCATTGCAAGGTGGACCAACCTGTTTTTATCAGACTAGTCGTGTGCAAATCCAGGGTTTACTCGGAACGTCAACTACTTTGGCATTCAAAGGGTAACTTTCGCTTTGACATAATGTCAGAACCTCACGTTAGAGCACAGACATCGGTGCTATCGAAAAGAAGTGCAGTTTACGATGCAATGATGTGAAAATTGCACATAGTTTTCGATAGCATATTCCTTCGAGGTCAAGCAGCATATAAATATAGCTTACTGAATCAAGGAATACAAATGTAACATTTAATAGACAGCTATAAAAGCACAATAAGCATTAGAGCGATTGGCAGTAACCCAGCACGACACTAGTATCATAGGAGCACAAATGTAATATCTATGTTTTTAAAAAAACTTCTTGTTGGGTGAGTTTATGTATGTTTATACTTGATTTTAAGGCACAAAAAGATCTAATCACAAGTGACAACATGGGACAGAGCGTTCTTTTGTGATTGGGTCTTTCGATGTCTTACAATCAACTATGAACATAGGCCAAAGTTGGCCAATAAAAAAAGTTGGCACTCTCTCCCGTGTCCTCTTTTGTGATAGTGTCTTTTCCTGTCTTCAATTATGAATTTACTGCTTTGCCAGAATATTAGATAACCAGTACTGCAACTACAATTGATGTTGCAATGACAGTATGCCTGCATAGCGTCTTTCTACGAGGCAGTTTCAAGACATCATGTGGCTCTGTAGTTGAATGCCATGTAAAATGCTCGGGTTAGATTGTCACTGGGATTCTGATTTTTATGCTTTGCACACATCAGGCTAAGCCGCCCGAGTCGATTTTTCTTAGCACACTGGTATTTAAATTGCCAATGTCCGTTCTCGCCGTTCCTAGGAAGGTCACATGCGACACATACCGTGGCTTGTTGTAAACGAGTATGTGTCACACGTGTCTGGGTGAAAGTGTTCCACGATGCCCAAAACAGAATTTTGCACGTTTCATGAACAGACAGTCATATTTGACACGTCCTCTTACCTTCCCATATCAATCTTGGTCTGCGCCACCACATTACTGAGGCAACCACAACAGCACCCAGACTTAGGTGAGACAGACAGACGCTCTAAGTGTCCTCGGTTGCTAAAAAATGCTTCATATTTAACAGTTCATTTTGCAGAAGTTCCCGAATTCGAATCATCGGTTGTCTGTGAAAATTAGAAATAAATACAAACAGTTAAATAATTAAAAATCTTCGGTCGGCGTGGGAATTAACCCAGGGCTTCTGCGCGACAAGCAGGCATTCTAGTAGAGTCATCCCCACGCTTTAACATGCTTTAGAAAAAAAATACAATGTGAATGCCCCACAGTAGAATGAAGCTCTTCCTTAAAGGGAGACAATGCTTTTTGAGCATAGTCAGGAAATGCTGCCGATCGGTAACTGAGGGTCCCGAGAACATGTGAACCCCATATTATAGCGCAGCAGGCCGGCCAGAAATTCACAATAAATTCTCAAAGTCGGCTAAGGTACTGGACCTAAAAATTTTCGCAGCAGTGGATTCATAAGGCAATAAGCTCTTTTAGTGAATCTATGTCATATGGCTATTTGGTATAGAGTTTAACAGACTCTATAGCAAAAGCTAGGCCAGAAAAGCTATAACCTCCAAAGCGTTGACACCTTGGGAACATTGCAATGTTGCCATTAACACACGCACACGCACAATTGATGTTACAACGCACGTGTACGCAAGCGTGACATATCTATAGTAATGCAGTGACTATGCAGTGTGGCCACTTGCCTCTGCTGGAACGACGCTCTGCTGTAGTCTAGACATATTTTTCACAATGTCTCACAGATGGCACACAGAAACTCACACGTGAAATGTTGTAGGCCCGTGTGCTCAGATTTGGGTGCACGTTGAAGAACCCCAGGTGGTCGAAATTTTCGGAGCCGTCCACTACGGCGTCTCTCATAATCATATGGTGGTTTTGGGATGTTACACCCCACATATCAATCAAATCAAATCAATCAGAAACTCACACGGGCGCGCAAATTGTTACATACAGGTTTTTGAACTAAAGCAAGAGTCGCATATCCTCCAAGATACACGCTGTGCGCTCGCCATCTCAACGGCTGTAAAGAGTCTCACAATGTCTCACAGATGGCAGCACATTATCCAGCCTTTGCTGTTTGCTTGATCAACGCCTCTGGGGAGGCATGATATGTTTTCCACACAATGGACATAGTTGTCCATTTTTAGAGCTGTTGTAAGGTTCCTGTGTGTTTTTAGCGGCGATGGCTGCACTATCCCGCCCTTTTTCGACGTAGTTTGATGGCCTCCCAAATGTGCCTACAAATCGCCGAATGGACTCGTTTTCTTCGTGAAACCTGTCAAACAAAATGCGTTAAAGACACTCCTTCTACTACATGGGATTTATATAGTGTTTTTTCTGGATGCAGCTGCAAGTAACATTGTGCTTTGTGATTGGACACCTGCTTGCCATGCAAACGGCCTGGGTTTGATCCTCATTGGGACTGAAAATTTTATTCTCTATTTTATTTGCTTCTTTCTTGATTTTTCGCTCACAGACAATGTTTTGCTTGCAACCAATGGTGCCGACGCCCACGGCACAATTTCTGCGACACAAGCTCTCTAACGCTATGGCGTTAATACTTTAGTAAACCGCAAAATATAGCAGTTTATTACACTGAAATTCTCGACGTGAAAACCATAAACAGGCTTGTTCACAAATCATAAATATACAGAAATTGTGTGATATTTATATTAAGTACTTTTAGAGAATATGCAATGGCCATTTATGCTATTTCCTGTGCACACAAAAATGAGTGTTTATGTTTTTGTTAATATATGACGCCACTATCTTCGTATCGTATTAATATTTTAGGGCGGGGTGATTGAGAGTATGTCTATGTAGCCGATTGTAATGGCACCCTAGTGTTTCATCCTCTATGCTTTTTGTTGCTATGAGCCAACAAGTCGACTTTATCTGACAACCTCTGACTGCAATGAAACAGATAAAAATGGCAGGGGTGATTGCCGCATGCATTGGCAAGTGTGAGTGAGACCAGCTTACTATCGTTCCATCATGGCGGCACTCGTGCGGTTATAGGTTTTCATGCATGGGCCCTACGTGGAGCTGAAGAAGTATAGCTCGACCCCTTTAATTCATGCAATACTGCTCAGCAAAGATGAAAAATCGTGCCAAGGCTAAAAAAACTTGAACTGTGCGACAAGGTGTCTTAAAGCTCACTTGTAGTACTGTATTTTATTATGTTAATAACAAAAGACAACACTACAAAACGAGCCTTCACTTACACTAACCTATTAAGAAATGGTGTCCCACTAACACACTAATAGAGGGCTCTAATAAGTGGTTACAGATTTGTGTATGCAAACACGTAGGGCAATAGGAGCCCAGCGCCCTTTCGCCTCCCCCCCCCCCCCCCCAAAAAAGTTCGTCCAATCGGGCAGTAAAGCCACAGTATAGAAGAAGCATAAGCACAAGTAGGGGCGTGTGCACTTTAAAAAAACGGTATTAAAAAAAAAAATGCTATTTAAAGAACTAACCAAAAATAGCTACCAAAGAATCTTTATTTGAAAGCACGAGAACAGTCGCTGAGAAATTCAGCATCCGGCGGGTGAATCAACACCACAACAGAAACACCATTCACTCTTACATCTGAGGTTTCAGCGAAACCATTGGCCGTACAGAAAGCATCATGCTCGTCTTCTTAGATGGCACTAACATGTTACTTGCCCAGACAGCAAACGTTATGAACTCCAATTTTTCTTTTGTTTTCACCCTGGAGTCCTCCCACAACTCCCCCATCAATGTTTAAGAGGCATGGCACCGACCATCATACCAGCTCAGGAAATTTCTAAACTCTTTGAGAACTTAAAAACTTCTAGTGCTCAAGGACTCGACAACAACTTATCCAAATTTATAAAAAGTACACAAGCTGTCTTGAGCAACTTTTTGCGCGTTATTTTCATGCAGTCACTCTTAGAGGGTCAAATTCTTGAGTACCAGAAGATGGCCAAAGTCACGCTGGCATTTAAAAGGGGTAACCATTCTAATCCATCCAATTACCATCCCATATAATTGACATGTGTATCATGAAAAACATTGGCACACAATATTTTCCCATATTGCCTGTCATCTTGAAGATAACTCTGTCTTTAACAGCAAGTAGCACATTTTTCGTCCCGGAATATCATAGCACATTTTTCGTCCCGGACAACAACTTATCCAAATTTATAAAAAGTACACAAGCTGTCTTGAGCAACTTTTTGCGCGTTATTTTCATGCAGTCACTCTTAGAGGGTCAAATTCTTGAGTACCAGAAGATGGCCAAAGTCACGCTGGCATTTAAAAGGGGTAACCATTCTAATCCATCCAATTACCATCCCATATAATTGACATGTGTATCATGAAAAACATTGGCACACAATATTTTCCCATATTGCCTGTCATCTTGAAGATAACTCTGTCTTTAACAGCAAGTAGCACATTTTTCGTCCCAGAATATCATGTTGAACAAAGTTGGCTGAACTTGCAACTGACCCACGATTCATCTTATCAGACTGACGTCATCTTGATCGTCGTCTAAAAGATTTCGACCGCGTGGCTCACAGTGTCTCATAACTAAACTCCGCACACTAAGGCTCAACACACTTACACTGTCATCATTAAGACGATCGAGACCAGGGACTGCTTCGAACGAATACGGTTTATTGGAAGAAGTGAAGTAGCGCGCGCTCGCTCCAGGCAGCAGTCTTCTTTCTTCTTCTTCCGGCGTTTGATGATGATA